CTACTCTGAAACCTGTCATTATATTGGCAAAGGAACTGAGGGATTGTTAGGTCTTCTCTGGCCTTTATGGGTACATTTACACTGCAATAAAAGACCCCTGAATTAGGCTCAGGGGCTCGGACTGCGGGGCTATAAAATTGCAGCCTAGAAGTTTGGGCCTGGGCTAGAGCCAACGCTCTGAGACTCTGTAAGAGGGGAGGCCTGGGCTCTAGCCCGAGCCTGAATGTCTGCACTGCCACTTTTAGTCCCGAAGCCCAAATCCCATAAGCCTGAGTCAGTTGATCCAGGCTCTGAGGCTCTGAGACTCAATTCTGTGGGTTTATCATTGCATTGTATGTCCTCAGGTGTGAGGCATGAGAGTATCCAGGGCACAGACGCAGCCCCAATGGATACTGTTGGCCAAAAAGAATCAAATTTCACACATACAGAGTGCATGTGCCCCAGAAGTGAAATCTAGGTAGACAACACATCTTTAAGAACTACATTTACTGTAAGATATGATTCTTTATACACGAATGAATATGTTACAAGATGCTACGCATCTGATCTAAAGGTTTAGAATAAAAATGTGTGATGTCATTTATCATTATTTGAGAGATTACATAATTGTATAAGTACATTGTGTCATAATACATACACTTACGTGGATAGAGGCAAGGTTGTGCATTCAAGATTGTCACAGTCATCTGACGAAGTGGGTATTCACCCACGAAAGCTTATGCTCCAATACATCTGTTAGTCTATAAAGTGCCACAGGGCTCTTTGTTGCTTTTTACAGATCCAGACTAACACGGCTACCCCTCTGATACTTAACCTTAACTTGGGCATTCCATTTTGAATGCTTAATTTTATGCATAAATAATATTGCATTGACGAAGCTTTTTGTATTTAATATCAGAAAGAATAACAAAGATTATACTATCACGTGATACTGATTTCTCAGGATTCTGGTGCAAAACTATCTAGTTCTCTTCTCGTGGTTAATACCATCGGAAACCTTCAGTGGGTATTTTGGAATGGATGCTTTGTAATGGTTTTTCTTCTATTCTGTATAACATTATAGAGTTTCCTCAGATGAGACTGTTTTTCACTTTTTAAGGAACACTGCCTGAACTTTGTGGTTAAAGAGTCACATTTTAATCAGGTAATAATGATGAAAGAATTTGAGCATCTTTCCTCATCCCTGATAGTGGAGATAGTACGAAGAAAACAGCAGCCTCCTGTTCGAACACATTCTGATCAGCCTCTGGATATTGGTAATGTATTTTCCTTCCTGAACTAATAATCACACTGTTTGTTTTCTTGAGACTTGGGCCTTTTCTACACTCAGGAATAGCAGATTGCAGGACATTGATTGCTCACTCAGTCTAGCGGCACCTATACTGCCTCCTAGGTTCATACAAGGACATGCCAATATTTGCACTGACTAAGCTTCAGGATTGCTGACACTCTATCAGAAACAGACCTAATCACAGTGATTCCCATTTGTGACCTTTGGGCTCATTTGTTTCTACTCACTGTATCTGGTAATGAGCCCTGAAAAAGCTCCAGCTGGTCTCACCTATTTAGCAATACAACCTGGCTGCCCATTTAACGTCAGCTCAAGGTAATGAAAGTCGGAGGATTGTCCGTAGGTACCTGAGAGATCACCTCTCCTTCCACAGCCACAACCTCCTGCAAAAGGTGTGTTCCATGGGAACAGTGGGAACATCAACCAAGAAATAGTGGGAGGCTCCTGAATACAGAAAACAGAACTGTCACAGGAGCAAGTCCTAGGCTGTGGAACTAATCCCCTCAATAGATAAGAATGACCACAGGCCCGAATTAAGAAAGAAATGCAAATTCATCTCTTTGCATTATCCTTCCCTCAGTAAGGTTTAAATTCACCCATGCTCATATGTACGCAGACACTCCAGCTATTTCTCGTAAGGGCTGGAAAGGAAGGAATGAAGAAGAGAGAGATTGCTATAGTTTCTTCTATTTTTAAATACTTACAATGGAAAGCCATTCAGGTCCCTAGATAGATTCCTCCTGAACCCTAGTGACATGGTGTTCCACAGCTGGGAGCCCTCTGCTAAAACGTTGTTTGCCCCAGTGTATCCATTATTCCCCTGCACTCCATTAGCTGAAGTATCCCTGAAGGGCTGTGTAGAGGAACGTGCTCCATGATGTGGACCAGACCATTCAGCTTATTTGAAGAACTATCCCTTGGAAAATGTTTCTCATCTTGAAACCTATGAGTATTAGGGTGGTGGGAGAAAAGCCAGGGCTTAGCACTGTGAAAAGGAGGATGAGCTAAGTCAGTCTGCAAGTCAGAGGGGAGAGGAGGATGAGTAATCCCTACTGAAGGTCTGATTAGGCATGCTGGTAGGTTGAACCCCACTTTGGAGCTAAGAAGAGTCATGGGTTTGACCTGCTGCAGGCTTCAGGATAGGAGTGTCAGTGCACACTAATCACTGCTACCAGATTGAAGAGAGTGATGGGGCATAATAAGACTACTGTTGAGGCCCTTATACCAATGGCATGTGTGTCAGTAGCCTGTATGTAACAGGATAGCCTGTGTCCAGAATCAGGGCATGGGCAGTAAAGTCCAGTGGTTAGAGCTTTAGGTGGTCAAGCCTGAGGGAGCTGAGTTGGTAGCTGGGGTCTGGAGCCTAGGGTCAATCTGGAGTCAGGCTGGAGTCAATAGCCAGGAGCTGTACCCAAGGGTTAAGCTGGAGTCGATAGCTAGGAACCAGGAATGAGGCAAGGAAGCAGGAATTATTAGGGGTCTGTCTCAGCAGCAATTCAGGGATCTGGCTTGGTGCACATACAACTTCCTGGTACTTCCTTCAGGCTTAAATAGTAGGCCTGGGACAATCAGAGATATGAGGTGGGGCTGCCAATCATCACTACTGTGGGTGGCACTCCCCACAGTGACTGGTCTCCTGGGATGCTTGTTTATTGCCTCGGGCACTGTCAAGGCTGGCTTCTGGCAGTGTGGAAGGGCTACCTGCTTGGCCTTCAGCAGATGTAATTTCAAGTCCCATGAATCCTCACATTGCCTCTCTTTAGGTGTGCCCTGTGGCATTGTCATGCCAGGCTTTTGTGGGTGACATTTGTGAGTCTTTTACAAGTTCAGGGGCATGAATGTTACCAGCAGGCTCCCAGTACTGCTCTTTGGGGCCATAGCCTTCCCAGTCTATGAGGTACCACAATAATCTGGAGCCCAGTACAGCTCAGTCCTCAGACTCCTTGTGGCCCTGAACTGGAACTAGTAGGGTGATGGCTGTATTCAGTCAGAGAAGAGATTTTCTGTGGATGCTTTCAAGAGGGAAATATGGAAGACTTGGTACAATTTGAGGGATTTGGGTAAGCAGAGTTTGAAAGCAACGGTTGATTTTCTGATATATATAGGGCCCAAGCAATTGGAGGTCTAGCTTGAGAGATGGCCTACCCATGTTAAAATTCTTAGCAGATAACCAGATCTTCTGGCCTACATAAAAGACTGTCTCAGGCAGTCTTCATACCATTTGTAGCCTTCTTAATGTCCTCAACATGCCTCCTTAGTTCTGGAATGTAGTGGATCCTTAAACTAAGTTGGTAGCTGACAGGTTTGGGGAGGCTGCTGGTAGTTAACATAGTTAACAAAAAAAGAGCTTCCCTCAATCTGCTGGCAATGCTCCTACTAATGCAGCCCAATATGCCGTTAGCCTTCTTGGCAACAAGGGCACACTTGTTCTCATCCTTCTCATCCACTGTAATCCCCAGGTCCTTTTCTGCAGAATGGCCGCTTAGCCAGTCAGTCCCCAGCCTGTAGCAGTGCATGGGATTCTTCTGTCCTAAGTGCAGGACTCTGCACTTGTCCTTGTTGAACCTCATCAGATTTCTTTTGGCCCAATACTCCAATTTTTCTAGGTCCCTCTGGGCCCTATCCGTACCGTCCAGCATATCTATCTCTCCCCCCAGCTTAGTGTCATCCACGAACTTGCTGAGGATGCAGTCCATCCCCTTCAGGCAGTGACTCCACTCTTCAAATGTGGCTTTAATCGCAAGCAATTCCTTATAGAGGATTTTGTACTTCTTTTTCTGTGTGTTGGAACTTCTGTGAGTGTTATGTGCAGCAGGTGCTGGGGCCCATGCGTCTGAGAGAGCGTGGCCTATCTGGCCACATTAGATGCATCGGCTTCCACTAAGAACTTTTGAGCTGAATCAGGATTCACCGAAATAGGAGCAGTGGTGAAGCTGATTTTGAGCTGTTTGAAGGCCTTGTGAGCCTCAGATGACCAAACAAATTTTGCAGTTTTCCAAAGGAGGGATGTCAAGTGGGCTGTTCACTGTGAGAACCCTGGGATAAAGTGGTGATAGAAATTGGTGAAATGGAGGAAACACTGCACTTCCCAAGTACTCCAACGTGTCTCCCAGTTGTAAACAGCTTCCATCTTATTTGGATTCATGCAGAGCACATGTACCCCAGAAGCTCTGCGGAGGATTGGTTGAAGGTTCACTTTTCCAGTTTTGTATATAGACTATGTTGCTGCTACCTCTCCTAGCCAGTCCTGATGTGGTGTTTGTGCTGCCCTGGATTCTCCAAAAAGACAAATATCATCTAAATAGACAGCTTATTGATCCAGAATGTCCCTAAATATATCATTGATGAAGTGTTGCGAGATCACAGGGACATTACCAAATGTTCAGTCCGAAGAGCATTACCAGTTATTCAAAGTATCTGTAACAAGTTCACAAAGCAGCCTTCCATTTATCCCCGGCCTAGATGTGTATTAGATTGTAAGCCCACCAGAGGTCTTGTTTGGTGAATATCCATGAGTATCTTACACAGTCCAGCAATTCAGGGATTAAGGACGGGGGGTACCGGTTCCAAATTGTCACTTGGCTCAAAGCCTGGTAGTCTATAAAGAGGTGCAGAGTCCTGTTTTCTTCTTTGCGAAGAAGGCTGGCATCCCTGCGGGAAATGTTGAGCAGCAAATAAACCCTTGGGCCAGGTTTTATTGAATATATGCAAGGAGAGCTACTGGTTCTGGTTCAGACATTGTGTAAAGATGGCCATAGGGAACCTTCACCCCAGATTGTAGGAAGTCATAGTCTCAGTGCAGAGGCAAAATGTCCACATTCTTTTTTTGAAGATGTCTGCATAATCCTGGTATTTATCAGGAATGTGGGGGGTCGGACCCAGGAGTGGCTTGGTTTGGCCATTTGCTGTGAGCCCCAGCACACATGGAAGTGCACTCATCATTGCCTGGAATGGACCCTTGGACATGCAGCTGTTACTATGGAGGCAGGTCTGCTGACATGCTCAATGCTGAAATGCAGGGAATGGATCACACTGAACTGCAGGATTATGTGAGGTTCCTGAATTACTGCTTCAATGGGCACTGTCTTCTGGGTTACCAGCCACAATGACAAGAATGTCCCATTGCTGGTTTCCAAAATGTCTGGTATGGACTTCTGCCAGATGGGGATTTGCAGAGCTTGGGCTGTCTTGGAATTTGTGAAATTGGCAGCAGCCCTGGAAACAGTGAGTGTCCACAGCAATGGCAGCTGTCAAGTTTTTCCACGGAGGCACAGCTAACTTGGAACCTGAAGATGCAGCAAATATCTGGGTTGGCCTGTCAAGACTTGAAGGGGAGGTGTCAGCCCTGAATGTATTTTTGTGGTTGTGCCCACGCCAAGTCCCACTGTGAAGTCCAAGTTTGGTCGTCTCCTGATCCCTTCCTGGCTGGGGTCTGTGATGGGCATGAAGCGAGTATATGTCCTGACTTGCTGCAGTAGAAGTGCAGGCTCAATTGTGCCAACGTTGCTCCTTCTCCTTGGTGGTCAAACGTCGGCAGTCCACGTTGACCTGCATGTGTTCGGGGGATGAGCTCAAGGGTGTTAGTGCAGGGTGTGTGCAAGGTGGCTGGATAGAACCCCTCTTTTCCTCTCTCCGCTTCTGTAGCCCATTGTCAATGTAGATGGCTAGATCAGTGAAAGTATCCAGGCCCATGGTGGCTTCCACACATTCTGAACCTCTTCACTGAGTCCTCACTGAGTCTGGTAGATCTGGGCTGCTTCATTCCATTTGATGACATCCACAAGCCATCAGAAATGTGCAGTCTATGAGGCAGCTGGCCCTTGTCCCTGCGAGAGGTTCTTCAGGGCAGCTTCAGCGATCACGTGCAGCAAGGGTAATAAAAAATCATCGACAAGGCTCAGTGCCAGACTGTTCTGCTGGAGCAGGGGGGAGTCCCAAACCAGTGCCTCACCGGTCAGAAACTAA